GGTGTTTTCAAAGAGGATGATCGTGCCCTTATCGAGTCAGTGAAATTGCATCGGGGCTCGAAAAACTTTCACAACGAAGAGAAGAAATATCGGCTAGATATATCAGCGATTAAGCGATCTGGCAGCTGTTCGTTTCTTTCAGTGAAGGCTTTTAAAGGTAGCAACGCGTCTGAGACACTCAAGACTACAACTGATTCTAACATCCTTAAGTTGATTATTCCAAGAAGTGATGACGTAATCGATAAAGATGTCTGGGCACAGTCGTTGATCGGAAGCAACAAATCGTTGAAATTTAAATTCGAGTACAACTGCGAAAAGAAAAAGAATGAACTGAAATCTTTCAAGGGGAGAAAAGTATCATCGAGAAGTATGTTGTTCTTGGATCCCCTATTATTACAACAGAGGGTGTGATTGGTGTTGTAGGAGAGGATGCTGATGGACAACTTATTCCCTATTTCATAACACAGACAGAACTTGGTAAGTTAAGATGGCTCAGGACACTGAGTTCCAAGAACCTTTGTTGTATTATGTCTGTTTTGCCCATCTTATTTTGCAATTAAGCTGCTGAAAGAGGTCTATTACATTATTGCAAAGGTTTCAATTAATATATGGTTTTTAGAGGAGGAAGATCAGGATTGCAAATCAGATTTTCTCTGTAAATAAGTTCACAGATCTTAGTCAGATTTCAGGATACAGCAGAAATATCCCATCTAGTGTGTAACTGTTAAAACTGTTATGTCACATGCTGGATTCCATCTGTTTCAGACATTTGGATTATGGATTGCACCTTTAGTCTTCAATTGATCTTTCAGTGTCTCAATGAGTAGTTCATATGTAATGTAAGTTACCTGAAAAGCATATATACAATAGAGTGGTCACTTTAAAACCCTTTTTTTTTTTTTATCAAAGCCTTTGGGTGAGACATTTCAAAGTTCCGACACATCTACAAAATATCTCAGTCTATAACTTTCTGATAAAGATTTGTAACTAACAGAGAGCCAATATGTTTTATCACTGTTTGTAGGCTAATTTTTTTAGTATCAGGTCAAAGCCTTCAAATGAACCATTTTTTGTCAAGGTAATTTGGTTTTATCAACTAAGTTGAAAGTGTAAATTGGCCATTGTAAAGAGTTATAAAGCTGACATTTCAAGCGTTAACCCTTTGTCATTCACTCTGACGAAGGGCCAATGCTTGAAACATCATTCTGCTTTTTAACTCTTTACTGCAGCCAATTTACAATTTCCACTTAGTTGATAAAACCAAATTACCTTGTTACCCCCAACCACACAGTACCACAGTTTCTTTAGAAACTTGCCTCCTTTATTTGTTTTTTGTCAAGCTTACCAAACAGAGTTTTAAGTTTTTCAGATAGTGACAGTCTTATTGAGCAAATTATCATACCCATTATATCCAAACTGTGGGAGAAACACTAGCCTAATGGTACATTTAAAGCTTTTAATTTAATTTCCTTTGTGGGTAAAGTGCTTGCTTGGTAAAAGTGAGTTTCCAAAATTATATACCACTAAAGGCAACTGCAATCCTTTCTAAGGTCTTTGCAAATAATTTTTTGGTCACTCAAATGTAAGTTTAGTAATCTATACTTCTCAAAGAAGCAAATTTCTTTTTTTGAAATTTGTGAAAGGTAGTTACTAAAGGTTATTCAACCAGTAATTAAGGTGTCATGATCGCAGTAAGAACTCTCAGTAGTAACGATTAAAACAGTTTCTAAAATCTACCTGATAAAAGAAGGAAGTAGTTTTGTTTTGTAAAATCCAGTTTAAATATCAGCATGTATGTAATAGTTCTTTTTTCTATAAATGGTATTCATGCAANTTCCTGGTCTATCTGATACTGATGCATGGGTCGTGACCATTTAAGTACATTTTTGAAGGAAAAAGCTTTGAGTGTGAATTTTCAGGGTTGTTTGGAGTGGTAACTCATTTTCCAGGCAGTTTTTCCTGCCCCCTTCCCTTCCTCTTTCCACTGTTCATCCAGAATCCAGAGTGAAGGGTGCCTGTTTCCCTTTCATATATCCATTGTATCAGAGAGTCAATATGTTTTATCAGTGTTTGTAGGCTAATTGTTTTAGTACCAGGTCAAAGCCTTCAAATGAACTGTTTTTTGTCAAGGTAATTTGGTTTTATCAACTAAGTTGGAAGCGTAAATTGGCCACTGTAAAGAGTTAAAAAGCTGATGTTTCAAGCATTAACCCTTTGTCATTCACTCTGAGGAAGGGCCAATGCTTGAAACATCATTCTGCTTTTTAACTCTTTACTGCAGCCAATTTACAATTTCCACTTAGTTGATAAAACCAAATTACCTTGTTACCCCCACCCACACAGAACCACAGTTTCTTTAGAAACTTGCCTCCTTTATTTGTTTTTTGTCAAGCTTACCAAACACAGTTTTAAGTTTCTCGGATAGTGACAGTCTTATTGAGCAAATTATCATACCCATTATATCCAAACTGTGGGAGAAACACTAGCCTAATGGTACATTTAAAGCTTTGAATTTAATTTCCTTTGTGGGTAAAGTGCTTGCTTGGTGAAAGTGAGTTTCCAAAATTATATACTACTAAAGGCAACTGCAATCCTTTCTAAGGTCTTTGCAAATAATTTTTTGTCACTCAAATGTAAGTTTAGTAATTGACACTTCTCAAAGAAGTAAATTTCTTTTTTTGAAATTTGTGAAAGGTAGTTACCTAAGGTTATTCAACCAGTAATTAAGGTGTCATGATTGCAGTAAGAACTCTCAGTAGTAACGATTGAAGCAGTTTCTAAAATCTACCTGATAAAAGAAGGAAGTAGTTTTGTTTTGTAAAATCCAGTTTAAATATCAGCATGTATGTAATAGTTCTTTTTTCTATAAATGGTATTCATGCAACAGGTCATAGAGACAAGGATCCAAGTGAGAGTGGGAATGGTGAAGACAAAAGCAATCTTAATGATCAAGAGACTCAAGATTCTGCTGGTACGTAATTTTCATTGTGTGTTATTTATAGATCCTAATTATCCAGTGAAGGCCAGGAAAGAAATCTAATCAGGGCTTGACACTAACAGTAGCCAACTAGCCACGGACTAGTAGAAATTCAGTTTAAGCTAGTGGTTTTTGATATGCACTAACAAGTTTGGCTAGTAAACAAACTGAAATTGTTGAAACATGTAAGTTGTCATTAGTCACTTGGCTAGTAGGTTGGAAAGTTAGTGTCAAGCCCTGTCTTAGCTGAATTGTGGAGCTTTTAACTGTCTGGGGGCAAGGAAATTTAAGGCTGAAGTGAAATTTCCTGGTCTATCTGATACTGATGCATGGGTCGTGACCATTTAAGTACATTTTTGAAGGAAAAAGCTTTGAGTGTGAATTTTCAGGGTTGTTTGGAGTGGTAACTCATTTTCCAGGCAGTTTTTCCTGCCCCCTTCCCTTCCTCTTTCCACTGTTCATCCAGAATCCAGAGTGAAGGGTGCCTGTTTCCCTTTCCTGCACGGCGCTCTTGTCTGGGTTTGTCAGCCATGGGAGCAGTCTTCAGTATATTTGCCAATAGTGGAAGCTCTTGGATGTCTCAGGTGCACAACAATTTCTTAGTAATGCGGTTGTCAATGGCACAAATTGAATTATGTTCAACAGCCTTTTATTTTTGATTGTCAGTTTTTTCTGTCCAATCATGGGCTCATGTGTACAATTGTCATTAAATTCTCAAAAAGTGTATGAGTTCAATTATGGAGGGGGATTTAAAGTAATGAAAGGATTTCTTGTTCATTTGCATGGCTCAATCCATGTGGCTTAAGAACTTAAGAACTATAATGTAGTACTTGATAAATGAAATGTATTTAAGTTTTGCAAATACAATTTTTAGCATGTATTGGAGTATGATTCGGCTTTTTCTTATAAAAGGTATGAGTGGAACAGATCATGAAGAGAAGGATCCTTGTGAAGGTGGGACTGGTGAAGTCAAATTAATTAAAGACGAAGACAGTGGCTGTGTTCTAGAAACCCCAGATGCCTCTGGTATGTAATTTTCATTGTGTGTAATTTTTACACAAAACAGACTCAATCCATTTTTTATTTTTTTGCTGAAGAAATCATACAATCAAATCTTAATTCCTATCAATTTTTAATGGTGATGTAGAGGTGTGTTTATCATTGACTGCTGCTTATAAGCATCTCATTTATGAGCCCCCCCTTCCCCATTTGTAAGCCCACTTATCTACTAGTACACAAAAAGTACATTCAATTATCAGCCCTTCCCCCAGAATTTTGTGCCTTCTTAGCCTTTTCTCTTTTGAGAATTATGAACTATGCACTACTGGTACTTCAGACAGAAAATTTGAAGAATTATTGTGCTTTTACTATTCCAGTTATAAACCAGCCCTTGTGGATTTGCTCCTCTGTTTATAAGCTCTCCTACAAACCCCTTACAAAGCTTTGTAAGTCCATGGCTCATAAGCAGCAGTTAATGGTAACACTTTACAATGCCATAGTGCATGTTTGAAAAGTGAGAATGCTATGATTTTAAATGTAACAATAACTTGGTCACACTACAAATATCAAACAAGAGTACTTGAATTTGAATAATGGAATGCAGCTACTGGATATTTTTGAAGAAATCAAATTTCACTTCATGTACAGTTAAATTTTGGAGCAAGTCCAGCTAACCCCAGGAAATAAATTTAAGCTGAATTCATTTAGTGCAGCTTTAAACTATCTGGAGGGAGGGAAATTTATAAAGCAATGTTTTGAATTGGTATCAAGAGATGTTCCTGTAATACAGTGAATGGTGTAAACTTAATTCTGTTCAAGAGCTTTCTTATTTTTGGTTGCATTTTTTTCTCCATCTAATCATGGAGGGGTAAAGATATATACTGAAAGGAGTTCTTGATAGTCAGCATGGCTAAATTCCCACGACACTTTAAGAATTTTAAGGTCACACTTATGAATGTGTAAAAACTCATTTCTTGTGGGGAGAATTTTCCTGGTTATTTTTGTATGTATTCATACCAAGTAATATTGCTATAACTATTTTTTATACATTATCATATATTATCACATATTTAACAGTAATTATTCTACGAGCGCGTGTTGGATATGAGATGATAGATAGCCAACGAGGCGCGTAGTGCCGAGTTGGCTATAATCATCCCATATCTAACAAGCTCGAGTGGAATAATTGTTTTATGAAAAAAAAAATACTCCCAAGATATTAGACAAATCTTCTCGACTTTATTTTGTAAGAAGAAACCAGATGTTACAATGTACAGATATTAGATTATGGCATATTGGCTCATATACCATAATGGCTAAGCCAATAAAAAGTCTTGAATTGCATTATCCAATGATCCAGTTTTTAATAATATCATCTACAACATAAATGTTTGTTTCCTTTTAGGCCCCATTGGACTAACTACCCAGAATCATGAAAAGCTGACAGGTGCAATCATTGAGAGTAAAGTTAAGAGTTAGGGAGTTTGTGAGCTTATCAGAGGCATAGGGTTTAGGAATATTAAATCAAAATTAGTTTCTTAGGTTTACCCTTCAGCAGCACTTTATTTTGAAGGCTATATTACAAAGTGTCAGATATGTGACTGTATCCCAAAATGGTAAGGAATGGTCATTGTATGCAACCATTTCTTGAATGAAAAAGAAGTGACTGATAATACTACCTTGGAGTTGGGTAAAAAGGAGAAGCTTTTTGACTACAGTTAGTCAGTAAGTAAGTAATTTGATCGCGATAAATTTTAAACCTTTGATTAACAAACAAGGTTATATGTTCGGAATTGTTACTCAAACATACAGTAAAAGCATTAACACTCCTGACCTCACAATTAATGATCACTCTCAATAGGACCGAGTAGAAATAAAAAACACTGGTTTGACCAGTCCAAGAACCAAGGTAGATGTGAACTTCTCTCAACTGAATATTTTGTTTGTTTGTTTGTTTTTTTGCAGCTCCAGTACCAGCATCAGATCAATCTGACAGTGACAATCAGGAGAGAGAATTGGGGGACGAGCTGGGAAAATTCGTGTCGGGTAAAATTCCTTTTTAACAGAATGTAAACAGTATTTGATTGCTTATATTAACCATCTGATGAGCTACTCATAATTAGTTCCTCATTAATATTCAAAAACAGGGGGTTAAAACTCTGGAGATGATAGCTGGCTGGAGAAATGTTTGCTCTTGGACAAACTTTTTACATGCTTGATTCTTGGGTGCTATTATAAACATTTATTACCTTGCCTTTTAATACCCCTTTAGATTGTTCTTTGTTTTAATCGGTGTTTTTTCTTCTCAACTTAATTTGGTATTGTGAGGCAAAATAACAGACTGATGTATCTACTATAATATAAATGGATTTTTAAGGCATATTTCCTTAAATATTATGTGTTTTACATGGGCCGCAAGAAGTCATCCTCCATTGATGAAACATTCCCTGCTTTTGAGTCTACTGAGAAATGTAAGAGGTCACCTTTTGTCATCATCCAATCACGTAAAAAAACTAATATATTCTCGCCACCGTGTAATATCCTCTATGTATCACACATTAAACCTTTCAAAATAGGGCATTATTATCAATAACACTATTATCAACGACAAATGCATTATTAAAATCCAACATATATCACAAATGAATGTAAAATTAGTGAAGAAATTAAGAATTGATTCACTCTTAACAAGAAAAAAAAATTGTCAGAGGTTGCTTTAACTGTTAATCTGTTCCGTGGTAGTAATCATCATGTGTAGAGCAATCACGGTGACACCCTGGGACTAATTTGCATGGCACCATTACTTGACCACTGTTAATTTACAGTAGTTATGGTTTTGAACTTTCCAAGCACAAGTGCTGTCAAGTGAATTTTTCATTCCGGGCCCAGTTGTATGAAGGGTGGATATAACGCTATCAAACAGACACATCGCTATCCAGTGCATAAGTGTTAGCAAAACTTACTGGGCTACCCACCGGAGAGAGATTTATTCAGTGCATGGATTAGAAATGACATAACCACTAACAATATGTTCCTTTCAATAGAAGAAATTGCAGGAAAAGATGCATGGAAAAATTCAAGCTTCAAACAAGGTTTAGAACCGTGCCTACTAGCAATTGAGGAACAAAGCCATATGATTGTTCCCCATATTAAGGAATTTTCTTCAAAATATTGCAGATTTCATTTACTTAATTGTTACTAACAATCAAAAAAGGGGGGGAAATATTCTAGAAGTGACACATGCAATGGGTCAATATCCCAAAGATTAAAGAAGTCAGGGAACAAAGAAGTCTCAATTAGTATTGTCACAGAAATTCACTCAAAGTCAAATTCAATTTGTTTCCTTCAAGTCAGAAGTGGTAAAGTTCCTTCAGAATGGTTTCCATACCTTGCCTTGGACCTGGAAGGCAACGTGCAGTGGAAAACTTTTGGGAAAAGTTTAAATCTAACAGAAGCGGATATCCAAAGTATCGACAAAGACAACAATGAGGTTTACGAGCGGTATTATAAGATGCTGAAAACTTGGTGGCAGCGCGGTGGTGCCTCATTTTACAATCTTGCATTTGCCCTAAAAGAGCACGAGCTTGAATCGATTCGTGACGATTATTGTATAATGAAAAAGGATCCACCCGTGAAGAAAGAAGTGGAGTTGCGTAAGTTGCAGGATATTTCTTGAGCTCTTTGCATTAAGCCTCACCATTGAGATCTCCCATTAACAGTACTTCCCTCATTTCAACCATGATCCCATTCAGGTCAAGCAAACTGATAGAAATTGTTTTTCATAGGGCCGCAACACCTGCTATTTTAAACCCTAAATATACTATTGAAAA